AAAAAAAAAAAAAAAGAAAGAAAAAAGAAAAAAGAAACAGATGGATATGAGGGTAGCTATCCAAGCTTACCGCTGCTCCGGGCATTCGTCTGAACCTCTGACAACCTGAAAGAAAAGAAATGTAAAAATAAAACATATGTTTACAAAAATAACAAATATTAACGTCTGCGGAAACCTACGCCACAGCATCTCCTTTGTCAGATATATCCAGCGGCGCAACCTGGAACCCGGAGTGGATACTGAACGACATCCGACAGAAAGATTTAGAAAACTCCCCTGTTTGCCAAAAGCCGTCTCTGTTCGAGGCAATGGGCCATCTAAGGCAGCGGTGAGCCAGACCTACAGCTACATCCTCCACTGGACAGCTGGGTTGGGTTCATGTCTTAGAATCGTCGGCATAAGAAACCCTCACCGGTACTTGGCCAAAGGGCCATCACGAGGCACCCATCAGATTGGGCAGACAGCATTCGCGAACCGATTTTGCCATACCTCACCCCAAATAGAGCATAGCAAGTACTCCCCAGGCAAAAGAAGAAATTGACTCGGCAACGGGCTCTGGATCTATACGGGTTCGATATCGGCAGGCGACCTGCTAACAACGATTTCACTTCTCTTCGAGGCATCACTTGTTCCACCTTCCGACCTGCAGCTACCCCTTTCAAGATGACGCAGGACCAGGAACAAGACAGGGTAGATCAGTTTCAGACACTTTCGTCCCATGTGGCGGTCTTACCTGGTTGAGCGGGACTAACACCACCCTCATTGCTTTTTATTGATCCAGATCTCCCGCGCCATGCAAACAGACGGATACGGCGGTCTGGTAAGCGTAAACCTAAAGGAGAAAAGGAACCATGAGGCCTGAAGATATCTATTTGCATCGCAATCACTTGTGCGCAATCTTCTGCCAGTGCTTTTCGATCATTGCGATTTCCGGTGAGCTACTCATCGACTGATGTAAAGTAACGGGGCATCTGAATTAGATATCAGGAGAGCGAGTGTCAGGATCGCTGGGAGATTATCCCCCATGATCGTGTGACCAATAAACGAAGGGACTCATCGGTTCCGGACTTGTGAGGCCGTCATTGGGAGGGTCTCACTATCCGGATACCTGCAGTACTTCCAACGAATGAGTCATCTCTGATGGCCACGCCCCTATCCATTCGGCTTAATGTGTGTATTTAGTAAGGACAAGGAGGAAAGCTTAGGGTCGGCCATATGAGTTGGTGATTGTTGACCGCTATCCCATGAGCAAAGCCTAAAGTAGCCCCGATGCGCGGACACTAATTATACAAACCTAATGCTAATGAAAAGCGTTACATCGAGAGCCTTCAGTAGCGATGAGATCATCTCATTCTCTATCTTTGTCAGCCAACGCTCCGTCGCGCCATGAGGGATGCCTCTTAGTAACTTGTTCTAAGTTCAGCCGAAGCCTCACCTCACATCGAGCGTAACACCGCTCCAACCACTAGGCTGGCTGCTCAGTGTCCATGAAACCAACATCTACATTGGTCCAAAGGTCTTGCTCCCGCTCAGGTATTTGTCATAGAAGCATCCAAGGTTTAATATGACTGGCTATGGGCATCATCGAACCTTCCACGCAGGCTTCTCTGCAAGAGTCCCACTCATGGTGGCGTCGTTTCGTAGTGTTTGCCTTGCTAATTTCTTTAATTCAGGATTTTACATTGATGGGGACCCTTTTTTCCCTTTCGCTATGTCCCTTGCGGCAACAACCCTAGCCCTTTCGACCAGGATCGCTTACCTCTTGCGGGGGAGCCAAGCTCAATCGTCGTCTTGCAATCTGGGACTTAGGGCTGTTCTGCAGAGACATTTCTAGCTCGTGATTAGAAAAAGCACATAAAGAGGAATATCGGAGCGCCTTTGGCTAATCAGTTGACAAATAGCTCAGCAATGAGCCAGAATGTAAGATCTAGAAACAGAAAGGAAGCCCAATATCCGAGACATACGGTTCCTGGTTTGGAGTGAGACCAGAGGCATGAGTAAGTTCAGGCTGTTCGTTCTCCGTCTTTAATTGGAAAAGACAGCATTTCAAACGAAGAAGCCCTAGAGCGAAGGGTGTAGGATTCGAAAGATAGAGGCTTAAACTTGAGTAATCACGGCGTGAGTTGTAAGACATTCTTTCGTGTTAAATTTGTCTGCTGCAATCACACGTGGACCTGGCTCGCTCTGTGGCACAGCATCTCAGCTACGAGCAAACGAAACGTTCAGGTAAGACGCAGCGATTGGATGGATTGGCACTGCTGTTGAAGAGTCTAGTAGAGTACCTAACAGTAGTAAGTAGTTGGATGGAGGCAGCTGCTCCTGGTAATGCAAACAGAACAAACTGATACTCCCGTCGACGCGGTCAGCTGACATGGAGCGCTCAGCCAATGACGTCGATGCCGTTTTCTACTTGTATAGAATTTACGATGGTCGACTCTGGGGGTCAATTAGAACTTCAAAGCTATGTTGAATGCAAGTCCATCGCATTCAAGCGCCCGACGGCTTGAACCACGATGCACTTGCGCCGTAAAATAGTCTGGCAGCACTTGTGTGACGTCTCTCAACCTGGGGCAGAGGAACGGCTTCCGCGACGTCGTGTGAGGGCGGACGTCCCTGATCTGCTCTGCTGTCAAACGGGGACAGCCATGGTCGAATCCCGGACTGGAGTCTTGCAGGGAAAAAAAAGCCATGATCGCGTCGATAGGACTGTGAATATGGTGGGACGACGCCGAGGTCCGCGGCTGCAACAGTGAAGTGTCAAATTTACATATGTTCGAGGAAAATCTCCGGAACACCAGTTGCATCCCAGATGAGCACAGCCGGTACCTCGCACAACACCTGCAATCTCTTGAAGATACTTTTTCTAGCCTCTGTTCCAGTGTGTTTCTCTTGTTCCCTCGCCTCTTTGCTCCCTTTTTTTTTTTTTTATTCTTGTTTCTTCCAATGCGCGTTTGCCGTTCTGCATGCCTTCGCCCGGTGTAGGACCTTAGTAATAATTTGTGGATCATATAAAGCAGAAAAATTAGAAGGCTCAATTGAACGTCAAAGATGTACATACAAAGGCCGAAGGTACTAGCGAGAATAAAGTGCAAATGTGTCAAGCTGAAAAAAAGAAATGGGAAAAGATAATATCTCCGGCGCAATAGAAAATTTTAAGAGTCAAACCTTCAAACCGCATCATACCATCGTACACGCCTATTCTCCATCCTTATACCTCAACATTCAGTACAATTTTGGTCGGGCGTGTCCCACAAAATAGTGCCGAATAAGGAAGCCCTTGCGCGATCAGCATATCCATCGCCCGATTCGATCATTCGTGGGTGGCTGATCGAGCAAGACATGAAATGGCCGAGGCATCTTAAGCCGCCAGAAGAGGCTCTTTCTCCACACTCTGAGCAGGATGCTCAATCGAGTCCGCCACAGCCACGGGTTCCTCCTTCACGGCAACGGGCTCCTCCTTGGGTGCTTCCGGGAAGTCCGTCGTCTTGAATGCGGGCTCGGTGTCGATCTCCTTCTTGATCACAGGCTCCGGGGTGGAGACCTTGGTCATCTGCGGCGATACGGAGCGACGCTGGCCGATGTATTCCTGGGCCTTGGCGCTGTAGCCATCCACGTACTGCTTCACCAAACCGGTCGCATGGGAGGTACGTTCTTCAGCAAGGTCCTTCAGTTGGTGGGCCTGAGAGTTGACCACTTCTTGGAGGTTTTCGATCTGTGCATCGATGACTTCACGGTTGTTCATGTAGACCAGAGGTCCAATGTAAGCGATGGTAACCGCGATCAGAGACAGACCCCAGAATGGAAGCCATTTGATCAACCAATAGGCGCTGAAGGCGGCAGCGAAAGCCTGTACGGGTGAGAAATGGGTAAGTTTCGGGCACACCCATATCGATACGCTCATAACTTACAGCGACAGTGTGGACGATGTTCTCGGCAAACAGGATGCGCTGGAATTCGAGGAGGACAAAGTTCAGGAGCTGTTCAAGATCCTCATAGACTCCCTCGATCGTCTCCTTCGGGATGGTGTAGTATTTACGAGGGCGGAAAGAGCTTGCGAGGCCCTGCGACAGCACGAGTCTACCACCGAGCTCGGCGGCAGCGGTAACTAGACAGATCAATTATCGCCCGGCCCATATCAAACGGGGGATCACAACTCACATCCTAGAGCCACGTAGACGAATTTGAAGAACCAGCGGAGCAGAGGCAGGTAACGGGCGGCGAAAATAAAAGTCACGACGGTCGCAAACGAAGCAGCAGTAGCTCGGGGTTGTTCCCACTAGTCACGGGTTAGGTTTATCGCGTCTATCACGGTGCAATAGCTCACTCACGCTCAGGAGGCTGTACAACAGGGAATGGTAATCTGGAACGAATTAGCTGTGTTGTTGTGTCGTTGTGGACTATCTTCACCACATACAGGTCAGGTGTTGGCCGGTCGCAGTGGTGGTCGAGGGCGTCACACGAGCATTTTTCAATTCGCGTAGCTCTTGTTCGGTACGGGCAGCCTCCGACTTGATGTGATCAACCACGGGCCCTGTGAAGGGATTTGTCAGGTTAATTGTCCTCTTGCAACTGGTTTTTGAGCATTGCGGGATCTAATTACCATTAGTTACGGCATTTTTGAAACCTAAGCATAAGCGTTAGCATCGGATTGTGGAACGATTCCGGCAACCCGTCTTGGGGAGTATTCAATCATAACTAAGATACAGTCAATTACTGCTCATTTTCAAGGCACTCGCTATCGAATGTATTTCCAGCGTACCTTACTGCTTCCATTGGTGTCGGGATAGCTCACGTCACCGGGTCTGGTGCTATCGGCCATTTCGGAAAGATGTTTGTGTAGCCCTGAAGCTGGGTAAGATAAGAAAATGCAAAAAAGACAAAGGTGAAAGGAGGATTAAAATAATGACCACTTGTAAGGTGGAGGAATTGAATGAACTAATGAAGAAACGAAAGAATGAAAGAGAAGGAAAGAGGGGGTGCAGGGTAAGATCCTGGGTGACCTGTGAGGGAGAAGAAGATAGGAGAAGGTGAGGGAGGGTGATGCAATTGACAAGCGAGAGTCCCGGCGCCTGAAAGGGTCGTGTGTGAGAGAAACCTACGACTGTTTGTTCTGACTTGCGTCTACTCCGCTTTTCTATTTTTGCTGTTAAGTTCGGTCCGAGAGAAATATTGTTAATTAGTTTGGTGATTGTCTTCACAGATGTGGTGATATTTTCAAGGTTGTTTTTTCTGCATTTCTTTCTCATTTCATTTCTAGGGAATTTTATTTTTTTGGAATGACTGCCTATAATCGTCATTGTTTGAAACAAACCAACCGCTACGTAAGAATTACGGTACCTTTACCGCGGTTCCTTTCAATTTGTTAGTGTGTCTCAAGTTCCTTTTAGTTCTTCTTTCCGCCAGTCCAGACCAATGAACATGTGATCTTTTTGACTTTCACCAACTGAGCTGCCAACTTAACCTTCGCGGCCGCTAATATAAATTTAAGTAGGAATAGACCATCTCGGCCCTTCTAAAAGAAATAAGCCGACAAGGAAAACCACCATCAAAGAAAGAAAAATCACATATAAACAGAAAACAAAAAGAAAGAAAAAGATTTGGGAAACACCATGTGGATCACTTACGGCCATGATAGACAAGTCACAACTGTGAAATATCAAACCTCCTTAGGTGCAAATGGGCTTGGTTGCAGCTCTGAGCGGCTCTAGACGAGCAACGCGCTACTTACTGGATAGGATCTAGCGGTCCGCACCGTAGCTGCAAGCAATGTTGGTCTCTGAGCCAACATTACAGGAGGGTGATTCCCAATCAACTACACGGGCAGGATTCATAATTATATTGCGCATCCACCAGCAAAATGGCAGATTTGCTGCTTAGTTGGTATGCATCAGGTAGAACCAGATGTGATTATTCTCGCACATAATTCATGAACCGGCTACCTTTTCCGAAGTTGATCGAACCTGATGAGCGGTGTCTTCTGTATATTTAGAAACCATTGTGTTGTAGCCAGCACTGCGATCCTTCTGAGCGTTGCAAACGTGGCTAGTGGAGGGCTGATTGCCTTGCCCAACGATGCGATATCTGATCGATACTCGGGGTGAGTTGTCATATGCGTGATACGGCTTGGGCCTCGAACACCGCCTCTTGCCCGCTTTGAATGATTTTCTGGGTGCAGTTGGACAAGCATATCGGTTCCAAGGATCTTTGAGCTGCGTTCTTGACTTCATTTGTCGGTCAGCCAGTTGAAACAACGTCTTTCTTCTCATTCCAGTGTCGCTGTTTCCAGAGAATGAACCGAAGTACTCCAGAACCTTTGCTTATATAGCTCTCTATCCCCACTCCAAAAAGTCACCACAAGCTTTCTCGGTGAGTCCGTTCTATCATTTCAGTAATGGAGATTTCCGTGTAGTCCTGGGGTGACTTGAGCTGGTACGACTAGTACTACTAGTAGTTAGTGACAGCTTGGGGACACCTCTCTTGGGTATAGTCGCAGATTATCGCTCTAACTTCAGCATCGACCAATAATCATTCTTCGACTAAGATCCTTTCAGGGACTACTAAGCATATACCCCAGATGTGTATAGATTTTCGTAGCGAGAAACCCGTGGCCTTAGATTTAAAAATCTCTAAGGTACAAACAAATGCTTGACGTAAGGGACATTGACTTTCTACCCTACACCGCAAGATACCAGCACGCTCTGCACAATTATATCCCCAAGGGATGAATTGACTACCGTCCACATCGAATTTATTTCCTTGGCGTCCTCAGGCACAGATCTCTTCATATTGAGTCCCTGAACGTGACTCCGACTCTTCTCCATTTCCCAATCCGGACATGGATGGATCTAGATTCCGCCGATATGGCCATGACATCATACTGTTCGGAAATCTCTTGCGAATCGAATTATTGACCCAAATCTCACCACAGTCATTAATTAATTAGTCTTCAATCATATTAACTAACAACTAGTTACGGAATACAACGACTTAGTTGCAGAGCGCGGCAACTTTCTTTGAGCAGGGATCGAAGCGGGGAACTGGAAGTGCACTATCCATTTTATACATATTACAGTCTCAGTATAGATGATGCCGGTATGAAAGAAAAAAAAAAGTTGTCATATATTTCGTACTGAGTACTATGGTATAGACTATGGATGTTGAAGTGTATGCCATGACACGCTGTAAATGTATGCCTGGACAATCAGGCAAGCATGACATAAGGTCACGTGAATGGGTGGGACTTACGCGTTTCCGATGTTTTGATGCCTCGACTCTTGCCGACGACGGACATCCTGAGCCCACCGACGACAACCAATATCCACCGACCCCACGCCAACTTTCAATGCCGCTGTCGCCCCAGTCGCTATCCTGATTTGGGCTTTGTCGCCCCCAGTTTCACTCGTTCAATCTGAATATTGACCTCGACCGACCGACAGCTGGGCATCGCGTTTGTTTACATCGTCATGGCCGCTAGTGGCGCGAGGGCGCAGAAGCCTGTGGGCTCTGCGGCATGGATTTCCACGGAGAAGGAGAATTTTACGAATCTGCTCAATCAAGAGATGGAAGAAGTGGAATATCCGGTGCGCCATGAGATGGACTGGTTGAATGAGCATATGGCCGAGATCTTCTCCAGCAACCAATTGTCCGTTGCGACCGACATACCCCCTACATCCGTTCCCGTGCTGACACCTGCATAGCAATTTCACGGAAGCTTTTAAAACCCCCGGAAAGTTAAGAGGCAAGACGCCTCGGACTGCACGCAAAAGGGATCCTGCTGAGAGTCGGGTGGTATGTTTCCCATTATCCCTGGCTAGTCTTCGGCTCTACTGACCTCTTTAGCCCTTGAGTGAGATCTTTTCAACGTCGCATAACAGGTTTGAGGATAAGGTTGCGAGCCCAACACCTCACCGTTCTCCTGCTAAACAAAAGGCCCCTGTTTCCGTGCCTACTCCAGCTCCAGCTGCAGCTACACCTACAAAGCCCAACCATGCTACAGAGAATGCCCCACGACTCCAGTACCCTGATCTCAGCAAGAACATGAACTCTTTCACGACCTATAACACGGACTCGGGCTACCATGGAATGCCGGATGAAGGCGAGGAGGAAGAAGATGACGATGTTGTTCTGACACAGGTGCAGCCTGAATCGCAAACATCCACCCAGCCATTCGAGAGTCAACCCACCCCGAAAGACGTACAAGAACATCGTTCTTCGATTAACCGCCGTTCCACGGGCGCTTCCTTCCACTCAGCACATGAGGACGTTGAACAGCGCGGAAACACGGTGGAGCCTATGCAAGTTGACCCAACTCCTGAAGCGGCCACAAAGGAACATACCCCCCAGCCACAGCCGAAGGCGAAAGAGCCTGAGCCGAAATCGGAGACAGAGGTGCAGCTTGAGCCTGAGCCTGAGGCACAGCCAGACGCGGAGCCCGATGTCGATGACGAGGAACCTGAAACGAAAGAGCCAACACCAGCACTGCAGCCAGAGGCGGAGCAAGCGGAAGAGCCAGAAGAGGCACCAGAAACTCAACTACCAAAAGACACAATATCATCACCTGTTAAATCATCGCCTATGAAAACTCCCGCTCCCCAGCCGTCGGAGCTTCATGAAGAAGAGAAGGATGACGCAAAGGATGATATGGCCCTCGATGATGAGAACTTGGATGACATTGGCTCACCTTCAGATGGCTCCACTCCGGATCGCCCGCCGATTCGTAAGAGCAGTCTTTCTTTTGCCTCACTTCCTGCTCGCGAGCCGCTCATGAAGAAGAGTTTGGGCGGCTCCCGTATCTCCCGAACAAGCCACATTGACATTGCCAAGATCAACAACACCGGGGGCTCTGGTTTCTTCGGTAGGCAGACCGGTGGACACAGATCAACCCAGGCTGCTCTGGATGAGAATGCGGCACATGGTGAGAAGATGGACCTTGATGATGATAAAGGAGGCTCCCAGGAAGACACGGACGCAGACACAAAGGCTAGCAAGCTTCACAACAAGTCGTCTACTCAGCGATTGCATGAGAAGATCAGTATGCTTGGAAAACTCCAACCATCACGACCTACGAAGTCTATTCCGGCGGTCCAAGGCCTGCCCTCCACACAAGTAACATATCCAGAACTTCCGTCATCTAAAGCTGATGCAAAACCGGAGACGGCCTCCCAGAAATCTCGCGGAACGCCAGCTCTGGAGGCCATGGAAACTGAGGATGACGAATGGATCCGGCCCTTGAGCTCACCCTCGAAGGCAAACTTCCCCAGGGGCCAGACAGCAGATGCTCCAGAGAAACGCTCTGGCATGGGTGCAAGTCATACCCCTGACCATGACGATGCATCTGCTACTCGAAAGAAGAGTGCAGCCCCTGAAGAGTCAGCGAGATCCAGCGCAAAACAGGGCTTGGAAGCGGTTCTTGGCAAATATTCGACCCCAACGTATTCATCCCCTCAACGCCCCGATCACCAGGCCAAAACCTCCACTTCACATATGGATAGCCAAGTGTCGACCACCCCTGCAGGCTCTCCTATCGCTCAAGACGGTCTGGTGAGTGCGTCTAAGTCGAGATTACAATCCATTGTGAGGTCTGCCAAAGGTCTTTTCACGAATTCTGCCGGCGTTGCTGCAGCTGCAAGGATGGAGGTCTCTTCTCCAGACGAGCACAGAATGCAGCGCACCGAACGTGTTGAGCCAGACAGGGCCAGCAAGAAGGTTCCACAGCCGACGCGGGACCACAGTCCCCCGCGACAAGAAGGCCGCCGAACACGAAGCTCTACCGAGCGGGAGGAACGTCGAAAGCAGAAGGAACTTGAAGATCGCCAGCGTGAGGAGGAAGAAGAGCAGGCAGTGAGGGCACGGCAGCAAGAGAAGGAAAAGCAAAGAGCTGCTCAGCTCAAGGCTGCGCAGGAGAAACTATCGGCTGAAAATGAAAGTCGCAGAGCTCCGGTTGCACCAACTCCGCAGAAGATGTCACAACTACAGAAACATTCTTCGAGAGAGCCAGAGCCTAGCTATGAGACAACCTCGAAACACACCGCCCGTCCGTCCGTCTCACACCAGCAGTCAACCAGGCAACGCCCTCCCAGGCCCACCCGAGAAGCTCTGCAAAAGCCGAAGCCTCAACCCCAACCCGTGTCGATCCGTGTTGGCAGCGCTCTTTCTCGTCAAATACCCATGGCATCCTCTTCGGTGTCCGGTGCTGCGGAGTCCAGCGTTCCGGTACCAACTCCCGCTTCCGCTTCTAAGCCACCTACCCTGAAGAAGAAAGCAAGCAACTCGTCTTTGCACACGGCGTCTTCCAACAGCAGCTTCAAGAGCTCTGTCTCCAGCCAGACACAGCGAAAAGCCCAGCTCGCAAGTGAGAGGAAGCGAGAGCAGGAAGAACGCGAGGCGCGCCGGAGAGAAGAACAAAGACGCGAGTTAGAACGCAAGCGTGCTGCCCAGCAACAGGAAGAAGCTCGTCGACAAGAGATGCGGAGTCGCGCAGAGGCCGAACGTCGAGAGCGACTTGCTTCCGAAGACCCTAAGAAGGCCGCCCAGATGCAAGCCATCGAGAAGCGGAGACTAGAGAACGCTCGCAGGCTTGAGCGGCAAGGTAGTCAGCAACCTGAAACTGTAAGTACAGTCCTCGTCCCAATGCATTGGCTTTGAAAGCTGTACTGATTGGTGAATATTAGAACACTACACACCCGCCAGAGAGGCCGGCTTCGCAGGCTGCTCGTCCCGCTTCACGACTGGGCTCCATGCAGCCATACAACCGCACAATCAACCCACCTCAACCCAATCCGGCCAAACCACCCAAGAGAGGGCTAGATGATGAACCAGGTCATCGCTCTGCAGCAGCGAAGCCTGGCGCTATGCAGCCTTCTGGCGAAACCAAGCGAAGGAGAACGGAAGACGAGCACAACCCCGTTATGCGACCTACAATGGCTCCGCCGATTCGCCAGTCGAACATCCGTAAAGAGTCGATGATCCGCAAGGTAAGAATTCAACGGCCCTTGATGATGTTTTTCTGTGGTACTGACGTGACTAGGAACCTACCAAGCCCTCTTTGTATGGCCATGCACAGCCGGGCTCTTCGATCTTCAAGACTGCTCAATCACAGCGACCTGCGCATCCGATGGACATGGCCAAGTACGCGAGTGGCAAGATACCCTTCGCGGAGCCGTCGAATGCCCCCCAGCCAGCTACGCACAAGACCCCAGTCGCCAGCTCTTCGACTCAGAAGGCTGCTCACAAGCCATCGCCAAACTATCCTAATGGCGAGAACATTCATCTGCCGGAAATCGCAACCGACAGTGAGGACGAGGACTCCGATGCTGAGATGCTCCCGGTGCCGAAGTGGGCTCAACCCAAGGAGCTCGAGTCGCTTCTGCGCCAGCAGGAGGGCTTGGAGGCGGATTCCATTTTTGGGCCCATTGCTCCGTTCTCGCTGGAGGAGACGTTCAAGGCCGATAAGAGGATCAAGAAATTCCGCGAACGCACCAGCAGTGCAAATTGGGCTGGTACTGATGCACTCACTCAGGAAGAAATCCGACGGGATCTTGCTGAGCGACAGCGTTTGCGACTTAATGGGGGGTGGAGTTTCAATTAGTGTCAGTTGCATGGGTTTATCATGATACCGAGTGGTTTTATTCTGGTTTGTTTTAGTAGGAGTAGACTTACGCGTTGGCATGACTGGTCGGCGTTCTTGAGATTGGACACTGCTTGGCTGCATTATGGGCATTATAATCATGCATTGACTTATGTTGAGCTTTTATTACTGTATGCGTTTGGACGATAGTTGGCTTGGTATATGCTGGATGATGGTGTCATGACTATAATCAACGACTTGCAGTATAGTCTTTGACTACAGTGATTGGTAGCATAGCCTAATACATCGGACATTCGTATGGACTTATTAGGCTATCCACCTTCATGAATAACCTCCACCAGGACCACTATATATATCCGCAAACTAGTTCCACCCCTGCCAAACAAGACAAAAACTCTAACAATCCAATGATACAACCTGGTCTAGCTTACAGTATTTGTCAAGGGGGTATCATTATTTAATCCAACCTATAACGCTAAAAGACAAAGTCGAGCACCAAAGCCACACAATAGTTGTGTGGAGTAAAAATAAGATTTGAAATCAGCACTTTCTAAATAATGATTGATAATGCAGAAAATAAAAGCTTCTGTCAATAAGAAGCATCATTGGTCTAGTGGTAGAATTCATCGTTGCCATCGATGAGGCCCGTGTTCGATTCACGGATGATGCACTTCTTTTTTCCTTTTTTACTCCTTCCACTCGACACATACCCACAAGCGTTCCTTCGGAATGCAGCAAGAAGGAGACTAATGCTACGCTGCCGACCCCCAATGCTGCACATCGGAGGTATCGAACACGATGAATGAAAAGAAGGTCTGACCTTCCATACAATTTTATATGGGAAGTCTAATATTGTTCATGTGTTCATGTTTGGCACATACTTCAATAGTACACCATAGCATCAGTTTGGTGGGCCAAGGCTTAGTTCCCGTCCGTAGCAGCCAATCACACTACACTTGTGCTTGGATTGATATACTTTACAAGCAGAATAGCCATTAGCCCGCCGATTCTTGCCTACTGTCAATCTAACTAGTTAGTAGCTACCGCTATGACATAAGTTTTAGGAATAGACACACATATGACAAAAATGGAAACTGCTAGGCAGCCGCTGCGTGACTACCTCACGACCGCCATGGGTCTAGCTCCCGAGATCGACGAGGACAATTGGGGAGAACTCATCCAGCAGATCCATGATCATGCTGAAGGTAGAGAGATAGATTCAGCCAGTCAGTCACATGGGCATTCCTATGGGTTGCTGAACTCGACGTTATTAAGGCCTTTATTGAAACTGGACAATTAGGTATGATAGTTACTAGTCCGACAGTATGGAGGTGCGCACTGGAAGATAGGAAACTTATAAGAGGTGGCAATAACATATTTTATTCAGAAGAATGATTCATTAGTCTGTATTATTATCCAATCCGTGGTGTTTGTATGTATTAATGTTTGAAACCTACAGCAGTAGAAAAAGAGTAATTAAACTCTATGATCTCTCCATCATAGATGCTGGCTGGAGGGACGGGAGGTGGATGTGATGAATAGGTGCAGCAGTAGGAATACTATTACTAGATAAAAAACAGTTCCTCCGTACGATGAACTGAACTACATTTATATACCTCAATACCACGGACGATCAGGTAAACCATCCAATGTTACAACAAACCTACCCAAGCCCTTAGCCGACATGTAACCGTGGTTCATATTAAGCGGAGAGAACATCTCATCTCCATCTCTTGGGAAGGTACTGTACATACATACATACACCCTACCACCTACCTTCCCCAGGGATTCAGGGTGTTTGGGGCGGATCTTGGTGACGGATTTTTCGGGGTATAAGGCGAGTTTGAGGGCGAGGCGGACGGCTGAAGCAGAGGACGAGAGGAGAGGAGCTACGAGGGTCGTTTGGAGGACTGGGATGGGGAGTGTGGGAAGGCTTAGGGAAACTATGGGGTTGTGCCTTTTCGTTTTGTGGTTGGCTATATAGAGGAGTGTGATAGGGTTCTAGGTGTAGAGATAAAGCCAGCTTCCAACAGGAGCTCACTCAGTACAAGATAAAAGACAACTACTGGTACAGTCATCAAGTCATCATTTTGGATATATTAGTCACGCACTGTACATCGGTGGTACGTACAACCAGGTCTATTATACACAAGCCGCTATTTTACTCCGCCTCCGGTTCAATATCGCTGGCCCCGTCATACCCCTGTTCCATGGCGTCCGGGTTGAGGTTGGCCGCGTCGGGCGCAATGCCATCCTTGTGTTTGGATTTATTGTGAGAAACCGTCCTCCAGCCGCACGGCTGAGAGGGGTCCTTGAGATATTCAGACATAGGGAACTAACGCAATCAGCTTCAGGCCACGCCTCTGCAACATGGATCAAACACTCACATAGTGATCGTTCTTCTTCATAGTGACCACCCAGGGAACATTGTCAAATGTGACCGCCCGCAGTCGGAAATAAGTGTTGTCAGGAATCTTGCTCACTTCCTTCACAAAACGGTCAAGATCTGGGGTCGGTACTCCGTTGACTGCGGTGATGAAGTTGGTCGGCGAGAGACCATACTGATACGAGGGAGAGCCACGGCTCTATTGACAGGTTAGTGACTACCTATTTTCACCAAGGGAGAGGGGAAAGGGGCTGAAAAAGAACATACCCTTGCGCTCACGTAGATCTCGCTGTGTAGCTTCGAGATTTGCTGGCGGACAGCGTGGTGCGGCTTCTGCAGCACCGCACCGCAGAAGACAACCGCCCGGTCGGTTTCAAGGTCCGCCGTCGGGACGGTGGGCACCTGGATGCGCATTTCTTGTCCATTCCGGACGATCAGAGCCTCTAAGAACTCCTTGTCGTACATCACGTCGAGTTCGGAAACGCGCGTGATCAGCTGACCATCTAGGGTAAGGATGATATCGCCCTCTTGGAAGGTGTCGACCGTGTTGTCGAAGCCAGCAGGCGGGCAGTCGACCTTGCGCACCATGAACAGCTGGTGCCGCGACGGATTGGCCTGCGTCACCTTCTGGATCCATTCCTCCGACACGCCCATGATGCGGGCCTGGCTCATCTGGACCACGTAGCTCTCCATGTTCAAGATCCGCAGCTCGGGCATCACACCCTGCTGGATCTTGGAGACGACCGGCAGTAGCGACGGGGTCGCGAATCCGAGGTGATACTCCACATCCTTATGCGAGCTGGGGGTGCGCTCTCCCAGATAGTTCAACCATAATGCCTGAACGACTCCGTCTTCACCAATCAGAACGCCATTGGAGCACTGTCCACTCAGGCCAGTGTCCACCGTGACGGCATCCAGGTTGATGGCCCGGTAACGTGGTGCAGACGCATTTGCTGGGATTGACACGGTCGTGATGTCGGTGACAGCTGTCTTGGCCACCACAATGCGGAAATTCTGGTTAAACCCGACGAAAATGGTGTCCTGGCCCTGCTTGATGTACTCCGTACTGAGTTTGGCGCTCTGCACAGGGGCCTGCACCAGACTGGGATCATACTGAATAATGGTGTAGTTTTGCAGCGGATGCAGAAAGACGACCTTGGCATTGACAATGATCGAGTCGGCCACGGTGATATTGATATCGCAGAGGTCATACGGAACAATGGCTCGCGACACAACAACCAACCCTTTTTCCGCATCCACGACGAGCCCAAAGCCAGTCTTCTTGGCCTGAGGGTAACCGTCCAACTTCAAGGGCATGGTACAGGACACACGCACAAAGCTGCGCACGATCGCCGAGGCTGCAGGCTGACTCACGCCATCCAGTTGGATAAAGTCGGCCTTCCTGGGCACGGGGGGAAGGGCCGGGAGGGGATCCGCCAGATCGGAGAAGTCCCAAAGACCGGTCTCATCATTGCGCACGGCCAATCGCATCTTGGGGTGCCAATGGCGGTCGATGTAGACGATGCTTGTGCCCCGCGTGTGGAGGTCCCGGATATGTCGATAAGAGATAACCACTCGCGAGCGGTCGGGGATGGTCTTCATCACTTCCACAAACTCATCCAGGCTTCGCGTGGGCCGTTTGTCCACAGAATCGATGAGCCATCCGGAAAGGGTGTTTTCCAGCTTGAAGGAACCGGCCGCTTCGCAGACGTATACGCCGCGTGTGGCAATAGCGTACAGTCGCGATTGCTGATAGGATAGGTCATGGAACGTGCCGCCTGCCACGGTCACGAAGCGATCAGGCGTGATGGCATGCAGGTCGCCTACTTGGCATTCGATCTCCACATCTTGACCGCCTCTTTGCACGAGCAGACGCACTGTCTGCCCAACGCTCGAATCCAGGATGTCGTCCAACCGGATAAACTGGGTCAGAAGTTCACCATTGACCTGCAGGAGCACGTCCCCCTCCTCGAGTTTTCCATCGGCGGGTCCCTCAGGCAAGATGATTTCTGCCACCAGCATGCTGGTCTCCGTGGGGGCCGCTTTGCGCACGGTGGCCTCCCACTCTGGTGTCAGGCCCAAACGACGACACTCGTCAAAAGGTTTCAGGATCCACTGGGTCTGGATGGTACCTCTAGTGACAGGCTCGCCCCGGCGTATGCATTCCAACGCACGCAGCGGACGATCCAATGGAAGGAAGTAGTCGGTTGCAGCCCCGTCAGCACGGCCACCGGCCTGCAGCGCAATCGCATGACCGTCGATATTCACAACTGGACTACCGGAACTACCGCCGCTAGCAGCTGCAGCGGCCTGGATGTAGTTTGTATTGAAGTCGCTGTAGCCTTCGCCGTATTCTGGTGCATTTCTATCCAGTCGACTGATAACACCCGACAAGATACTTAATTTTTCTCCTGCATCGTTACCCACGACCCGGATCTCCGAACCTACTCGTGCAGCGTCGGGCTGGAGCTTGAGCTCTGTTAGATTCATATAACGGATGGCTTTCGGGTCGAATTTAAGGATACCAAAATCGTGTACAGGGTCTCGATATACGGGACGGACATCGCACTAGGGAAAGCCCATTATCAGCATCGACTACGGCAATATACTCGGCCACACGGCTTCTCCAAGAGTAAGGGTCTATGGCTAAACTTACTTCCTCATGATTGTCAAAGATACAATAACCCCAAAAGGGACCGGGGCAGACCACATGTCGATTAGTCAAGATATACCCCCTCTCAGCATCGACTACAAAACCGGTAGCCTGACTACTCATCGATAATTCTGTATCAAAAGAACATGTTTGACAGAAGTGAATGGAAACCACGCTTTTCACAACCTCCTCGATAGTAGCTTGCCACTCCGGCGAATCAGCCTGGGCGGGCCCAATGGGCAATAGACGGCTCGCATCATCCTCATCCTCAATATCGTAGACGGTCCCATTGGCCGGCGTGGAGTCTCCGGGGGTTAACGCAGAGCTTTCGGGCTTGAGGTGTTTGACCGGACGCTCGGCGGGCACGATGGAGCTGCGCTTGCGTTTCGCGCCTGCATCTCCGTTCAGATCCATGGCTTCGTTCGGAAAATTCTTAGATCGCGGACGAGAGCGAACAGAGGGTACAAACGACGAGATCGACCGGACAAACCCGTGAGGATGGATGCTCGGAGCGGAAGCTATGGCGTATGACCAGCGCTGGGGACCCGGGAGCTGATGTGCTAGCGGACGGCGGGTACGACCAGAGATTGGCCACGCAGCGCTTGAAGACGGGACAGGCGACCACCGAAACGCGGTCAAAGGGCCACCAGACTCCGTAGGAAGGTGTTCAGTAGAGGAAGTAGAGGGATAACAATAATAATAAGGAGACGGCGGCGATGCGGCGGGAGAAGGTGAAGAAACCGTAACAACAGCAGTCGTAGAAGTAGTAGTAGCGACAGACAAGCTCCTTCTGCACACCAGGAGCGAGGCGAGAGACATTCACAAGACCCCCCGACGGTCTCAGAAAGGGAAGGATAGAAGGACAAAGAGAAGGGTTGGGGTCAGCGTGAAAAAAACCGAAGATCAGGCGAACTGCCGCTGGGTTGGAAACACTGCTGCACGTCCGGCAGGCGGAAAGCCCGTCTCCGCGCTCCTGATTGGTCCATCCCCCCCCTCCGCAGTGGCTGCAGACGATCAAGTGATATGGAGCTTTCCATGTCTTCTGACCGTTGATATTGAGATGGTCGGTGGAACAGTCAGGGAGGAAAACAGGGAAGTCTACTAAACACTACGTTTGCCATGGGTGGGAAGAAGCATCCCCCTTGCCGCTACACATGGACGTGGTATCATTGATGCTATCCACGGATTGAACCGATTCAATTTTACAATTAACTTCACAAAAACTTGTAAATAATCTTTGCGCTCATTTTCCCTTTTCCCCGCCTGGGTCTGGACTTATTATTAGGAATCCCCAGCTGGTTTCACCGGCGGACTTCTTGAGTCTCAAACCTAGGGGCACACGGCATTCCTCCAACAGGGTCCCGGCGGAAGTGGATGCTCATATACCTTTGGCATCCGACCTTGGCCAAGTGAACTCCATCGATATTCATCCGCGGATTGATTGTACAGGCCACATGAGCAAGGCCAGTTCCAGGTCATAGATATAATTTTGTGAGTAAGTTGGCGTCCAGCTATGGCGCTGAATGTGAGTCTCAACTGCAGAGACAACGCCCATGGAGCTTTGTTTCCCAACGCTGCACCGAGTCGGAATCGCCCAAATCCTTGACATTCGGGACGACGCGCATGTGTGAATGATCGAATCATTCAAAAACATTGGTCTCGCTCAGACGACTGTCTCAGTAGCTGGAGAGGGGCTGGGCTTGCCGTTGCCCTGAGGACTTGGCTGAGGTGTTCCGGTAGCGCCTGGTACCGTGCGTGGGAACAGTTCAGCGAGCTTCTTGTACATTTCGTTCATGGACGGCATGTGTGGGGGCGGCGTCATGATACTCGGCGCCGTAGGAGGCACTCCTCCGGATTTCTTAGCGCGGTCGGCGATGGTTGCGAGGTATGCCAGATTGGCCTGCAGACGACGCATACAATCGATGTATTCCTGACTGGGCTTCTGGGTTGGCCCTTTTGCGGTGTCAGGGGCCTGATCCGACAGCGGGTTGGCATCCTGCGGCTGAGCTGGAGGACCACCGGCCTTGCCTGCTGCCTGTAGATTCACGACCTCTTGCAACAGCATTGAATTTATATCGAGCAGAACAGTCACACGAGCTTTCTCCCGGGCCGTTGCGGGTGATGGAGTCACCGGGGGCGCAGACGCCTGTTGAGTGTTCTGTTGCGGAGCGGGCCGTTGAGGCTGTGCGGGAACCAGGTTGTTCGCCGAGATTGAAGCCATATTCTGAGGGAAGGACGGCGCCGTGGTTGCTGGAACGCTCGAGACAGGAGTTGAAGTCGCTACAGTCTGCGGGGGCATAAATTGGTTCATGGTCGCGGGAATAGGTGGCTGGGTAAAGGGTGCAGAGAAGTTGGCGTGGGGTGCTGCTAAAAGCGAAGATCGCACATTCCGTTAGCGGCTTGTCACCGACGTTGTTGCTCAGATGACGCAAGGCACAGAACAAAAATCGAGGACATGGCTTCGAACGATAGTTCCATGGCAGATCCCCATCAGACCAGAAGTATGGCTCTCCATGTGTCACTAATGGGCCGCGTGTATACCGGTAAATTTTTGAAACTAACGATCCATATCATTGTCCAAGGGGGCACGGAGGGTCGAGGGAATCCCCGAATAAAGAAAACAAAGTCAAAATAGAGCTACCCTCCAAGAGCAATTAAAAAATATAAGGAAAAAGAAAAAGAATAAATCGAAAGAGGAAGTACGACGTACCAGAGTGTTGGGGGAAACCCGCCGGCATCATAGCTCCACCTGGAGCGCCTGCCTGCATCGACATGGCACCAAAGGAATGCTGTTGTGGCAGATGGGAAGGAGGCTTTTGCTGGGGGTAAGAAGGAATCGCGTTCGGATAGTAAGGAAACTGCTGTGGACTCTGGGTAGTAACCGGAAAGTGTTGCTGTTGCTGTTGCTGCTGCAACATTGGGAAACCGGTCGCGTTGGGATCCATGATTCTTTGGGGTGGGAATGTGGTTGGACGGCAGGGGCTGTCTGTCGAATAAAAAACGAATAACAAGGAAAAATAGGATCAAATCAATAAAATGAAAAATACAAAATCAAAAAAAAATAATACAAATTGAAAAAAAAAAAAATGTATAAAAAATATTATAATAGAATCGTATTAATTTTAGAGTCGGTCACCGCACGGACGACAATGGGACGGGTTGAAACTTGAATGAGAACTGTGAATGAGAGTCGCTGACTCGCGGGAATTCAAGGGATGCCAAAGAATCGCGCCGTTGAACAGATTCAACAAGGTTTTCTGGAACAATCCGCCGAAAATCCAAGGAAAGGGAAAAAGAAAAATAAAAAGAAAATGTAAAAGGACCGAGGACGCAGAATGATTGGCGGTGATGGTGGTACTATGATCCTCAGTTAAGGGGGCGTGGTGGGAAAAAGTCGGTAGGAGTAATTTAAAGGAGAACAAGAGATTGATTGAGGGAACACGATCGACTCGAGTAGTGGACGAGTGAAAAGAGATTTGCTGATCAGCCTTTGCGGAGAGACGAACTAATGCAGCGGATTCTCTGGGCGGTGGAGTTCAATTGGAGAGGAACCAACTCCAGTCCCCATAATCGTTGCTCCGATTTAGCTTTGGGGCGTGTTTGGGAAAAGGTGAAACGCTCGGCCGGTAGTGAAACTTGTTCGGAGACCTGGATTTTTGAAATACTATGTATGACGGGCGATGGTGACGGCTGGGTTCGAGAAAGGGAAGGAGTTGAGGTTGTCTGGTAGTTTGAGTTGGAATGTGAGGGAAAAAAGTACGAAGCAGCTGATGTGAAGATGCCTGGGGAATCAGGTATCTCGGTCGTGGCCTATGCTGGATTGGGAACATTTGGTCATGCTCGCTGCCTATGTCGAGTCACCTCAGGCATCCAATAGTTGCTGCCTTCTACCCGTCCAAGCTAGACCTGTTCCTTAACGAACCTCCCTGACGATATCATATCTCGGAATCAATGGTCAACTTGATACATCACCTCCACCAACCACCTCTCATGATCAATACCATGCAAAGCATTCTCGATGCCTCTCCACGATCACGAACTGGCTCCATTACACTAGCAAAACAATAATTTCCATCCCGTATCTAGAACAACTTTAAACCTGATGGTCTTTCCTTGTCGGGTCAGTACGTCGTCTCCCCGGGCCCGTCCTCGTCCCAACCTCCTGATATTGGCCTACATCGAACTACTCCTGGGTCAAAAGTACATCATAACAGTACATGATAACTGCACGCACAGAAACCTGCATTCATGGCGGTGGCGCTGCGAAGGATCCCCCGGACCCCAACTTCATAGCCATGGTACTGGGAAACGCTATTTGAAATAGTCACCCACACAGTTCAGGGCTGGATTGGAGCTTCCTATCAAAATGGAGGACAACTATGTCGAGATAAAGGTACTCTAGGATTGGTACGTGCGGACCGAAAGGTACTTGGTTCCGATGCCACCGGCCTGTCACCGGCATTGTAGCTATTTCCGTAGGGTTCAATATTCTCCTTGAAATGCCGTATGGAGTGCTGCTAGCCCATACGGGTCCTATCTTCCGAACTTCCTACAGAGAATGTCTGACGGACCAGCGAATGGATTAACTGAATCAGGAGATGACTTGGGTCCACTGCACTGAACAACAGAAAGATAGACGTCCAGTATGTTCGAAGCGACGTGACTAGCGATCCTGTCAAGCGGTGATCCACGCCATGCAACAATAGTTTCAAATAAAGTGTCACTGAGATGATCCTATTATCGAGTGGGTGTTCGTCTTCGCTATGGGTGATCTTGAAGCTCGCTTCCATCGATCATCTATCCATCCACTCAGCAGCGCATGTCCCTTCACGCGTGAGTTACTATTTATTTCCTATTGAGTTCCAATTTATAGTAGATAACGTACCAATGGGATGGGCTCCGACAATCAATAGCTTACCTCAACCCAGACTGACTCTGAGGCCCGCAATTGCCCAGTGGGCCGAGTCATACAGATCACAAAGTTACTACATCCGCGATGCACATCTATACCATTTGTCGCTGACACATCAGGTGAGCCACCTGGAAATGGCAGACAGATGAGAACGCCACAGCCGCTGAAAGAAAAAATACTGAGACCGGATTTATTTTTTCTTATTATTGCCCAAATTATTCTATTTTTCTTTTCCTTTGATTTTTGATGATTTCTTTGTTTTTATTTTCTATGGTTGCCGCGTGATAACTAACCTATTGCTCGGGCTGTCCCGAACGCCTAGTTTGGACGGTTAGGGCAGGCTGTACCCTAATCCTTCTAGGTTGTTTCGAGTCCCGCGTACATACTTCACCAAAATCATCAACCATCAGCCCAGCTCCGATTCCACCAAGCTTCTAATCAGGAACAAAGATGTAACTATGAAGCTTAGACATTAACGCAGTAGGGACATATTAACCCATCCTACTAATTTTCAGCGTGGAGACGTCGGAGCAGAGTGTCAACTGCTGATGGTGATTCATCATTCTGAGAGTGGGGTTTGGAGCGTCAGGATTCAGCCATCAACGGCCAATAAGGTTCCGTCGTATACCTTCTCTTCCTCATTTCTAGCATTTTATTTTATTTTTCTATTCGAATTTTTTTTTATTCAATGGCCCTACACCAAAGCTTCAGCTGGCAGAACTGGACCCACGGGAGCGAATTTGACAATTGCCACAGCCTGGACCACCAAGAGGGTCAAGAATAGTAACAAAGACCGAGGAGAGGGCAGGCCTGTGACTGACAGAATCATGCCCCGGAGAAGAGGGAGCTCTCGTTAGCGCCAAACCCACTATCGATCAACCGGTCGAAGCGAGTCATAGTGACAATTTGACATCTTGCCATGTGGAGTTCTACCAAACTATCCCCAGCGTTGATTCTTGAGTTGTCCAAAAACTAGCCCAAGTGAATTGTTAATTTTCTTTTTTACTAAGGGAAATAGGAAAAAAAATAAAATAAAATAACAATATCCATTCAGAGCGCCGGAAATCGCTTCAAGAACCCTGGCCCCGCAACTGATTGCCGACGCCAGTGATATTAGCTCACTTAGGCTTCCTGGTCAATCCGGACTACCATCGTTCGATGGACTCACGCATACACATCAGAGTAGTCTACAGTTGGGCCTAAAAAAAAAAAAAAAAAAAAAAAAAGAAAAAGAAAAGAAACCGGCCCACAACGTCATCCGTATTGTCTTGCATACGTCTTGCATCTCTTTATCCCTGTGGATATTCGGCGTACCACGTATGGGGCTTATTGACTTGTCTGCATTGATTCGTCTCTGTCAGGACCCTGCGACGGAAATTGCCGTATCTAGATCGGCACCAGGGAGTCTGACTTTACACTGATTTCAATCATTTTGACTTTTCTACGATACTATTTTGTCAGCAGGAACTCCACACCTTAGTGGCGCAAGTGCATATGCCTGACACCCGATGCGCGAGGCAAGGGGGGTTCGAGGGCCGGCCGAAGCGACGCTATTCAGTTCTATCGAGGAAGATCACAGCAAGAACGACACAGATGAGCGAACATGGGAGGGAATCGTGACCACCATGATCCCTCCGGCTGGGACCCCCCCGGCCGGAAAAGATCTCCAAGTACCAAGGACCATGGCTCTGGGCCTCTCTACGGACCGTGCAGGTGGGAATAGTATGCTCCCCTAGATTATTGACTATAAGGCGTCTCGGTGATTTTTCTAGCCATGAGCTATTCTTTTCGTGGCTTTCAACCACACGCCGAACTCAGCCGACGGTTTGCCACGCTCGATGAGCTGAAACAAGGCTCGTACTGCATGACCGCATCCTGAAGAAATCTTTCTTGATTCTGTCTCGCGTGACTTTGAGGATGATGCTATACGCGGTTAATAAAGATAAAAAAACCACAGAGTAAAAGCTTGAGAAATCGCAGCAAAAATAGTATCATAGGAAAAAAAAGCTGGCTTGAAATCTAAAGCGAACAACCTAGCATTGAATGACGCTCTGCAGAAATGATCCAGACTTTCCGCTGTCCAAACAGCCGATCATTGGGGAACAGGACAATGCAGAAGAGCCATTAGTTCGAAAGCCCAATGCATCCGAGCGGATCGAATGCTGTGCCACATACGGAGTAAGGCCACGCACATTCCTGACACAGCTTTGGGCTGAGTTAATTTATTTTCTACGGTTTCATTACGCCGTAGATACACTACCCCCTCCCAACGAAGTTGCTTTTTCCTTTTTAATTATTTCTTTTTGAGGTTTTTGGATTTTTTTTATTTTCATTTATTTTCTAATTTTGTTTTCCAAATATTGGTGTTGGCGTTTCTCCCTCGACGAAGCGTGTCCAACGCATATAAAGTGCATCGCAGCATCGCAGAAGAGGCGAGAGTGGTTACTGCTCAGGAAGATCCTGTAAGGTTATTGTCGGTGGATCCTCGCAAAAAACACTGTCTCCCCTGCACCTTTCAAAAGATAATGCTGGTTGTGGTGCCCAGGCAATAGAGATGTCTTCTGCGCGTATGTACTCCCCTCCTCCCCGGCACCTGATTGGCAATAGGAGTATTAAAATTTAGCATTTAGGTGACCCCCAGTCCCCAACTTTCTTTGAACAGAGGCCAATGCAACCACAGACCATGGTACTGTCACTACTGACCTTGCGTTTTCCCCTAAGAGGTTCCTGACTGACTGACCCAAGGCCCAGACTCCGATATCTATGGATGCGCCGCTGGACGGTCTCTCCTCGCTGTCCTCGGTCCATTTCGCTCTCATATACATTGACGAGAATGGTAAGCTTCGGTTTGAAGCGTCACCTTCTATTGCAAGCAACTGCCAGTCGATTCTATCTCCTAATGTAACCGATTCGTTCCTGAGAGCTGTGGCGTTGTCGAACAAGGGTGACCCCGGCGTGATGGGTAGGCCCTCTTGTACGTTCTACAAAGTGCTCCGAGTTGACCAGAGTATGCAGGTTCTCCGAGATTGAACCAAGAACATATGGGGGGCAAAATCCCCATGTCACCCCAATCACCCGGAACGAGTACCTTGAGCCGCAAAAACTCAATGTATGTGGCAGAACTCTCCTTGAGAAACCAGTGGCCGTCTAACAAAATTAGGTTCCAAACGCACCAGGACAGTCACCAGGCCAAGAGAAAGCGGGTATCTCACGAGTGCGTGGTCCCGATGAGCATCAACTGCCACCAGAAAACCATGTTGCCTATCCGCAACCACGATCTCCTGCGTAAATACTACGAGAAGGCATTCGAGAGCCTGCAGCAGATCAACTGCCGTATCCTTGCCAAGGCGTATATCAAGCTTGTCGAACCCCGCAAGCAGGTCAATTATCCGTATAACGGACGCAAGATCATCTCGGGCTCCTCGCAGCAATTTGACCCCGAGCTTACCAAACCTGCTTGGTGGCCATCGGGCGTCACCCATCGGGAGCCTGACCATCTGCTTAAGGCCGAGAGAATCCGACTCCTGGTACACATTCTTTGCGAACTACGCAGCAGTCACGCCATATGCGTCGAGAAACTAAGAGAAGCAGACCAATCCATCCGGCGCCAGATCTTACCTAGTGAGCGGTTGCAAGTCCTCGAGGAGATATACAGCGTCCGCGAAGAAGAGGAAGCCTTCCTTGACTGCAGAACAGGTACGTACCATCCCTCACCCCTCTAAATAGAACCGCCAACTCACACTCGGCAGACGGACAAGCCGTAGTCTGTGTATCCCGGGTGAACCTTCCCGACATATCCGAAGCCCAAGCAATGGGCTCACCCGGCTCGACCATGAAAACCGACCTTAACCCAGTCTACCGCAAAGAGGTCCCGGACATGGAATCCCACACCTCCGTCTTCCCATCCACAGGAAGCTCCCCGACAAGCGACACAACCAAGCACAGCCTTGCGAGCACCAAGTCCGCCAGCAGCGCGAGCACAAACTGGGATCCATGTCTCCCGCCGTCCCTACCCTCCTTAAGCACGCTGAAGCGCACCCGGCCAGGCGAGAGCTCATACCCTCTGGAGTTCAACACGAACATGTTCCAGCACGAACCCCCAACCACAGTCTCCATCGACTCGCACTATCCGTTGAAGTACTACAGTGAGCCTCACCTGGGTCATCACCCGCACTCGCAACCTCTCCCTGTGATGGGGATGACAGGGACAGCGGATATGGGGTGTGCGAACCCGTACTATTTCACCAGTTATTGATGAGTTCTTTTATCTTTCCTCTCATTTCTCATACACGCTCACTCACCCACTCACCGACGTATCCGCCTCGACTCGACTCCACCCTCCTTTCTCATTTCCCTTGACTGATACTCTCGCCCACTCACCTTCAACGTCTCGCATTTCCTCCATCTTCAATCTTCTCACCACCACATTCCTTTACCACCCATTTCCTTTGTATCTGTTTCCAGCGAACTGGCGTCAGGGGCATTGCATTCATTCACAACATCATCAGGAACTCATAAAGCATAATAATAGATTTTCGGACAGCGACCAGGATCCAAATCACTAATAGAAGAAGGGGGAAGCGAACCAGGTGTACATAGTCACGAACATCAAACCAAACCCGAACCCGAAAAAAAGAACCAAACCTGGAAAAAAAAAGAAAACAAAAAAAAAAAATAGAAAAGGGGACCACGATATTTCAAGAAAACAA